CTAAACCCTAAACCCTGACATGGGTTGAGAGTCTCATCTGGTTCACATGAAGGGCGAGCTTCCGACAAAACCAGGGCTTTTGGCTGAAGCTTGGGGGCGTGTCTAGGGTTCAGGGCGCACATAAGCGCTTCGGATTTCTCTTGGGGATATGGGGGTTTCCGAAAATANNCCCTAATATAGTACCCGAAATACTAGGATTCTTATTATAAGGACCCCAAAATAATAAGGTACCCCTTATTTTCGGAAACTCCCATATCGAGTTGCGAGGTTTTGAGGCTTCCGCAGGGCTGTTGGGGCTTGGCTTTGTGCTTCGCTGGGGTTTTTGGGTTGAAAAGGAACAAAGTTTACTGGTTAAGGGTTTAGGGTTCAGGGTTTACTGGTTTTAGGATTCAGGATTTAGGGTTTCGACTCACACACTCGCACAAGGCAGGCATGGCAATGAGGATCTAGGATTTAGGGTTTAGGGTTTACTGGTTTAGGGGGGGGTCAATGCTCAAGGATTCATGGTTGCGAAGGACGACCCTAGGTCCTATACGGCCACGAGCCACGAGCACAGAAACATTGGCGAATCAGGAGCGGGCACACTTAACCCTATACCCTAAAGCACAAAGCAAACTCCCCCTTCCTATCGTTATAACCGAATCCATGAATTTGTTTCTGATAGACCCACAGTCTGCAACTTGACACGCATCGGCCAAACTCCTGAAGCCTGCACACAATCCAGAAAGCCAAACCCTGCCCAAATTCTTACTCCTTCGATACTGAAGCCAAAATGCCATAAACCAACAGCTCCCCCAACCGCCGAAAACACAGATCCTGTTCAGGGTAAGGAACAAACAGTTAATGGTAACGTAGTTGGGGGGTGCATGCACCAAGTAAATATCAGCATTGCCTGTGTGTTGATAACTTAGACGACTAGACTAAGCCCCCTAGCAGATCACAACCCAGAACAAAAAGTACCGAACAACACCCCTAAACCCTAAACCCCTAAACTGAGCTTTCAACTTCCCCAGAAGGGTGGCTTGCCCGACAGCGCTATGTAGGCGACCTTGCTGGCTTAGGATTTCACGCCCTCAGGGGTCCGAATCTTTAGGAGATCAAGATGTCCTTCATGCTTTACCTTAAACCTAAATAACCTACCTGTACATCCTTAAGATCAAGATCTCCCTCATGCTTTACCTTAACCCTAAATAATCTACATATACATCTTTAAGGATTTGTTTAAGATCAGAATAAGGAACCCAACAGATGCAGGCCATGTAGGGTGCAAGTAAGGCTTGAAACGATCAGGGGTTCGCGCTTAGGGGCCTGAAAAGTTAGTAGCTTTAGGGGCTTGAGGTTTGCAGGGTTCAGAGGCTGAGAGGTCAGATGGGCTTTCGCGTGTTAGGGCGCGCCAGGGCTTAGGCTTACCTGGACCCTAAACAACCTGCCCGTTTAGGGTCCCTCAATATTGATTTCTTTATATAGGCCCTTAAAAAGGTAGGCCCTTAAAAAAATAGGTTCTTAATGGTCTGGGTAGGGCTTCAGAGATGACAGTTTGCATGGACATGCATGGTAGAGGAAATTCGAGTGCTACGGCGAAGGCCGTCGATGTTGCTGCGGGCAGAAATTATTGTGTTATGCAGTACTACGAAGAGGCTCATTGCAGTCTCTATGTCATTCCAGTCCCGAAATCCCCATTCTAGTTATTACCCTTTGACGCAGGCTTGATTGGAGCTCCCCCGGCCAAGCCCCCTCGCAGCATATCGCATTCTAGTTGTTACCCTAAACCCTCTAAACCCGAACTTTCGACGAATCTCACAGGCCGGCATCTGGAGAAGGTCTAGTTGGTTTCAGGGCCCAGCTTTACAGTAGAAGCCCAAAAGTTGGAAACCCAATAGCCTCAATCCTTCAAAGTAATGTATAGTATAGGGAATCCTAGCAGTCCTAGCACTAACTGTCCTCAATCCTGTCTCCAACTTTTCGGGGCTTACTATATAAGGGTAAGGGTTTAGGGAAACCGAAACCCGGAACCGAACACCGCCATGACCGAAGTCAATTTCTGAACCTTCAAGCCAGCTTCCCTCACCCTGAACCCCCAAACCCTAAAACCAAAACTTCCCTGAGCTAAACCCTAAACTTTATAACCCCTAAA